TTTTATGCCTTCTTTCAGATCAGTTGAGAATTTTTAGTATGAAATATTGGTTTAATAGGCATACCACTTTATTTTATCTTATTTTATTCAAATTTGGGAGTTCACTAGGTTTACAATATGTACACTATACCCTAAAATAGAATTATACCATTTTGTGTTTAATGCAAAAATCTTACAACAGTATACTTCCATTATCCCTTTCCAATCTTACAGCAGTATACTTCCATTATCTTTTTCCAATCTTACAGCAGTATACTTCCATTATCTTTTTCCAATCTTACAGCAGTATACGTTCATTATCCCTTTCCAATCTTACAACAGTATACTTCCATTATCCCTTTCCAATCTTACAACAGTATACGTCCATTATCCCTTTCCAATCTTACAACAGTATACGTCCATTATCCCTTTCCAATCTTACAACAGTATATTTCCATTATCCCTTTCCAATCTTACAACAGTATACGTCCATTATCCCTTTCCATTCTTACAACAGTATACGTCCATTATCCCTTTCCAATCTTACAGCAGTATACTTCCATTATCTTTTTCCAATCTTACAGCAGTATACTTCCATTATCCCTTTCCAATCTTACAACAGTATACTTCCATTATCCCTTTCCAATCTTACAACAGTATACTTCCATTATCCCTTTCCATTCTTACAACAGTATACGTCCATTATCCCTTTCCAATCTTACAGCAGTATACGTCCATTATCCCTTTCCAATCTTACAGCAGTATACTTCCATTATCCCTTTCCAATCTTACAACAGTATACGTCCATTATCCCTTTCCAATCTTACAACAGTATACGTCCATTATCCCTTTCCATTCTTACAACAGTATACGTCCATTATCCCTTTCCAATCTTACAACAGTATACGTCCATTATCCCTTTCCATTCTTACAACAGTATACGTCCATTATCCCTTCCAATCTTCAACAGTATACGTCCATTATCCCTTTCCATTCTTTGCTACTCCTTTTGTAGGTTTTATCTCTAAGTAGGTATAATCACCAAAATACCTTGTTATCATTTTTGCTTTAAACCAGTGGTTGGCAAATTATAGCCTGCTCTGTGTTCTTGTAAATAAAGTTTTATTGGAACGTAGCCACATCTATTTGTTCACCTATTATTTACAGCTGCTTTTGCACTGCAGTGGATACTTGAGTAGTTGTGACAGAGACTGTATGGTTTTTGAAGCCCCAAATAATTGCTATTTATGATACTTTACAGAAAGTAAAGCCAATTTCTGCTTTAAATGGTCAACCTTTAAAGACAATTTTAATAGGAAAATATTTTTTAGATTTCCCACATAATTATCATTTCTGGGACTCTTTTTTTTTAGAGATCTACATTCTGTCTGTTGTTATTTTTCTTTAGCATGAAGAACTTTTTAAAGCATTTCTTGTAGTGACAATCTCCTGGCAGTGCACTCTCTCAACTTTTTGAAAAAAAATCCTTATTTCACTGTCATTTAAAATACATATTTTTGTTAGGTATATATTTCTAAGTTTACAGTTTTTCCCTTCAGCAGTACAAAGATACCATTCCTTTGTCTTCTGGCGTGCTTTGTTGCTGATGCGAAGTCTATGACCATTTTTACCTACATTCTTCTATGTCGAATGGGTCATTTGTTCCTTCACTGTTTGTAAGATCCTGTCTTTATTACTGCTTTTTAGGAATTAGATTACTATGTTCATTGGAGTGGTTTTCTTTGTGTTTTCCTGCTTAAAGTTTGTTGAACTTTTTGGATCTGTGAGTTTATAGATTTTATTAAATTTGTAAATATTTCAGCGATTTTTTCCCTAAAATATATTTTTCTCTAAAGTATTTTTCTCTGTCATCTACTCTCCATTCTCTCTTTTTGGGTCTTTACTTACCCATATGGCTGACTGCTTGATATTTTTACTGAGACTCTGTTAATTGTTTAGTCTTTTTTGACAGTGTGCTTTGTTTTAAATTATTATTATTATTATTATTATTCAGGATTTCATTCTATCACCTAGGCAGAAGTGTAGTGGTGGCATCACAGCTCATTGTAGGCTCAACTTCCTGGGCTCAAGTGACCCTTTCATCTCAGCCTCCTGAGTAGCTGGGACCACAGGACACACCACCATACCCAGATAATTTAAACTTTTTTTTTTTTTTAGACATGGTGTCCCACTGTGTTGCCCAGGCTGGCCTCAAACTTCTGGACTCGTGATCCTCCTGCTTTGGCCTTCCAAATTGCTGAGATTAGAGGCATAAGTCACTGTGCCTGGCTCATTTTGGATTATTTTTATTGTTATGTCTTCAAGTCACTAATCTTTTCTTTTGTAGTATCTAATCTGCTGTTAATCTAACCCAGTGAATTTTCTATTTAAGACATTGCATTTTTCATCTCTAGAAGTTCCATTGGCATCATTAAAATATATCATTTTCTATATGTTTTACTCTTCTCTTCATTCATGTTTTCTTTTGTATATTTGAATATGATTATAACAGCTATTTTAGCATCCTTGTTGTTATTTCTGTTCCATAGTTGTTTCTATAGATTGATTTTTTCCCCTGATTCTGGGACATATCACTTGTTTGGCACGTCCAGTAATTTTGTACTGAATGATGAGCATTATTTATGAATAATTGTGAATTATACACTGTTAAGTAGTTAAGTGCTTTATTCATTTCGAGAGTATTGGTCCTCCTTCTGGTAATCAGCACTTGCAGTTCAGTTTCATCCTTTCGAGGCTTGTTTATAAGTTTTCTTCCAGCAGGACTAGAATAGATTAGAGACTACTCTAGATATTCCTGAGTAACACTCATACATAAGTCCAACAAGGCTCTTCTTGGACTTCTATTGTATAAGCAAGGACTCTCTGCTCTGGCTGACTGGAATACGAATCCTTCCCAGCACTGTCTAATCTCTGGGAACCCACTATTCCTTAGTTGCTCTTTATTCAACCTGGTAACATTTCACCTCATGTATGTAGATCTTAGTATTCAGTAAAGACTCAAGGGGATCTCTGTGCAGATTTCTGGAGCTCTCCTTCTTTGTAGCTACCTCTTATCTCCAAAACATGGCACCACAACTTTCAGAGACCTCAGCCTCCTGGAAATAAGATCTCTGAATCTTCAATTCATTAAGACCATCATGCTCTGCCTAGTTCTCTCCCTGCTCATGGTCTGGAATGTGTCTTCATGCAAAAAACTAGAGAGGTTGCAGGACTCACCTCATGTGTTGTCCTTCTAGTGATAACAGTCTGCATTGCTTGTTATATAATGTCTGAAAACAGAGATTTCATATATTCTGTTCGGCTTTCTAGTGGTTTAAAGTGGAAAGGTTAAATCTAACTCCTGTTAAACTATTACCAGTAGAAGCATAAATTCCTTTAATGCTCCTCCATATCCTTTTTCTTTTTCCCTCCAATGTATTTGTTGAAGAAACCAGGCTGCTTCCCTGTAGTTTGCCCTTATTTGGATTTTACTGGCTACACCCTGGTGTTGTCACTTCAGATGTCCCTCAGTTTCTTGTATTCTCTGTACCTTGGCACCAAGATTAAGGGTTGAGTAGATTCAGGTTCAACTCTCATTTCTTGGCAAAAATACTTCATAGGTGAGACTGTATTCTTCCACCAGAAAGCACTTACTGTTTCGTTGTTGCTCCTTTTTGATGTTAGCAACAGTTGATCTTTGCTTAGATCCTTTATTTCTTCAGGGGATGCAAAATGGTGACAAAAATTCAATCATCCCTTATTCATTTATTAGCTGAAAAACTTTTCTGAAGAGAAATTTCCACTTATCAAATGTTTCATTACCTGGCAATATAGCAATAAGAGAAAGGCTTCTTTTTATTTATTTACTAGTTTTCAAAGTAAACACATTGGCTGGGCGTGGTGGTTCATGCCTGTAATCCCAGCACTTTGGGACACAGAGGCGGGTGGATCACTTGAAGTCAGGAGTTCAAGACCAGCCTGGCCAACATGGTAAAATCCTGTCTCTACTAAAAATACAAAAGTTATCTGGTGGTGTGGCATGCCTCTAGTCGGTCCTAGGTACTTGGGAAGCTGAGGCAGGAGAATGGCTTGAACCAGGAAGGTGGCAGTGAGCCAAGCTCGCACCACTGCACTCCAGCCTGGATGAGACTCCATCTTGGGGAAGGAGGGGGTGAGAGGAAGAGTTTGTTCTTTGGCATCCTTTGAAGGGGACCAATTTTCTAGCATCATTTCATTCTCATGGATTTAAACCATTTTTATTTATTTCCATCTCTACTGCAGTTACGCTTGCCAGCCTGCACGTGGCCCTAACTCTGGCCAGTGGGAGCCTCTTCAGGATGGCTCCTGAGCCATTTTACCAGCACCCTAGCACTGTTTTGATAGCTCTCCTGTTTCCAGTTATGACAAGATGTTTTCATCTCATCTTGCACATTTTCTCCCCAGACCTGAAATTAGCCATTTTCCAAATTAGCCATTGGTTCATCCTCAGTGCAAGTCATCAATTAATTAGTTTTTAAGCAAAATGAGTTTTTCTATATTTTTAGAGTGGGATGCTGTGGTCCAGGATAAGCTGTCTAGCCTGTAGGTCTAGGTGTACAGGTCTCTCTTCTGTTGTTTCCTCAAAATGATAAAAATACAGCCTTGACTCCCTCCTCCACTTTATCTGAACCTTGTCTTTCTCTTACTTGGTGCCTCTGGCTTGCTCGATTAAGATTCTTCTTTCACCATTTCTCTCAGGGATGGACTTTGTCTTGGGAGGGAGCTTTGGTTCCCTAGTTTAAAGAAGTTTCATAAAGCCTGGATTCCTCTAGCACCTTCAGATCTTGCAGAGTCCCTTCCTTCTCTGGGTCTCTGTTTTCTTCCCTTTAAAGACTGTGGAAAGGCTGGGAGATATAAGTTCCTTTCAGCTCTGGCAGGGTATTACTCTGATTCTACTCTATGGACTTGATGTCTGAGGTCCTTCTGTAGCCTGATGGCTAAATCACACCACCCTGTGGTTCACTGAGGCTGTTTCCCTGCAGGGATCTCAGTGTGGACACTGGCTTGAGTCCTGCTCAGTTCCAGGTGCGGCCCATCCCTCAGCACTATCAGCATTACCTAGCGACTCCTCGAATGCACCACTTTCCCAGAAACTCCTCGTCCACGCAGATGGTGAGTGAAAAGAATATTGACTCCCTTGTGCCTATTGAGTGCCAGTGGTGGTCTGAGGACTGCGCTCTCCTGTGCCCCAGCTCCTACATGACCTGGATCCCCTGTGTATCGACCCCCTATGCCCTGACTCCTGTGTGACCTGGCCCCCTTATATCCTGGCTCCACTGTGCCCCGACTTCCACATGCCTCAGCTCACTTGTATATCAACCCCAACTATACCCTGACTACTCCCCTGTGCCCTGGTCTTCTTGAGTCCTGGCTCCCTGTGGACCAACAGTTCCCCTCTCTTCCCATCTCCTATTCCCCCTCTGGCTTGATGGGGAATGAAAGGGGACCTGTTGGACTAGAAGCTGGTACTGCTGAGGGGACTAGGAGAGGGCGCTGGAGGAGTGGAGAGGGGCAGCATGGCAGGGTGTGGTCTGTGGGTAAAAGGTTCAGGACTAAGATCAGGTAGAGTAGACCTCGTACCTCATATGGCCTCATTTGGTTTCCTATGGTCAGTACCTCTCTGGGCTTTGGTTTCACTAATCTGTGAAATGGAGATGAAGATGCCTGCCTTGCCCATTTCACAGGGCTGGCATGAGAGATCCCAGCGGTAGCTCTTGGGCCTACCCTGCAGATCCAGTTCTGCCTTTTTCAGAGGGCAGGCCTTCTTGTGGCTGGAGAGCATTGAATCATGGGTCTGGCTGGGTTTAGGGGCCTCTGGACTCCTGACATTGCAAGCTGCATGGAATGAAAATGAAGATATTCCATTAAAGCAGCAAAAGCTTAATTGAAAATCTTATTTCCAGGCAGCCTCACTTTGCTGCCCTAAAGCCTAATTCCACCTTCCAACCCTTGTCTCTGTCATTAACTGCTTAGCTCCTCAGTCTCCTTATTTGTATGATAAGGATCTTGGATGAGTAATTTTGGGAGTCCTTGTCAGCTCTGAGGGTCCCTATTTTGTGTTTGAGCACCATCTCTTAAGAATAAAGAAGCAAGCATTTGTTGAGCACTTACTACATGCCAGGCACTGTTCTAAGCACAGCATATAAATTATCCCACTTAATCCTCTCAACAACTCCCACAAAGAATAAAGAATATTATCCTGATTTTAAAGGTTGGAAAACTGAGGAATAGAGAGACTAAATAACTGGTCTTGGGACATAGAGTGAGCAAGTGGAGGAGCTGTGATGGAAACTCCTCTCTCGCTCATAGCAAGGGTAAGGGAGAGGCAAGTGGGGCAGGCCATACAAGAACATAGTCCGACTCTGTCTTTATTTAAAATACTGATATTTTGCTCAGCATAGACGGGTTTTTTTGGCATTTATTTGACTTTAAAAAACATTGCATTAAAATACTATTGATCTTGCTGGGTTTGGTGGCTCATGCCTGTAACTCCAGCACTTTGGAAGGCTGAGATGGGCAGATTACCTGAGCTCGGGAGTTTGAGACCAGCCTGACCAACATGGAGAGGTGGTGGAGAAGCCCCACCTCTACTAAAAATACAAAATTAGCTGGGTGTGGTGGTGCATGCCTGTAATCCTAGCTACTTGGGAGACTGAGGCAGGAGAATCGCTTGAACCCAGGAGGTAGAGGTTGCAGTGAGCCAAGATCATCCCATTGCACTCTAGCCTGGGCCACGAGTGAAACTCCATCACACACAAAAAATTATTGATCTTAATTACTGAGCTTTTTGGTGGCCCTTTAAATTTTGTGCTCCCACTTTGGTGCCGACACTAGCCCAAGCCTTTAATCATCAAGCTGCTCTTGGAGGCAATGGAGAGTAGGGGTGATATGGTTTGGCTCTCTGTTCCCACCCAAATCTCACCTTGAATCGTAATAATCTCCATATGTCAAAGGCAGAATCAGGTGGAAATAAGTTTCCCCATGCTTTTCTCATGATAGTAAGTGAGTTCTCATGAGACCTGATGGTTTTATAAGGGACGTCCCCATTTGCCTGGCACTCATTCTCTCTCCTGCTGCCCTGTGAAGAGGTGCTTTCTGCCATGATTGTAGGTTTCCTGAAGCCTCTCCAATCATGCAGAACTGTGAGTCTATTAAACCTCCTTTCTTTATAAATTACCCATTCTTTGGTATTTCTTCGTAGCAGCCTGAGAATGGACTAATACAAAAGGTGAAGGGAATGGACTCTGCCACCCATCTACCTAGGATTGAAATCCTGCTTCTGTCCCTTGGTTGCATAACCTGAGCCAATTACTTAATCCATTGTACTTCATTTACCCCATCAGTAAAATGGGATAATAAGAGCTCCCACATTGTAGATCAGGTGAGATAATTCAATTAGTCATGCAAAGTGCTTAGAACAATGTCCGCCATGAAGGTTAGTTGTCACTTGTTATTCCTTCTGGGGCTTGTCCAGGCAAAGCTTAGTTCTTGGTGAAAGGGAAGGGACATAAGAGCAGGGAAGACAAGACTTCTGCCCACAGCATCTCAGGGTGCACTGAGTGGGTTACAGGCAAAGGAGTTGCATGCTGGGCTCATGGAGAAACCTTGAAACCTTGCTCTATTCAAGGCATTTTCTCCCCAACAGGTCGTCCATGAAATCAGAAACTACCCTTACCCTCAGCTTCACTTCCTCGCTCTCCAGGGACTAAATCCCAGCAGACACACCTCTGCCGTACGGGAGAGCTATGAGGTATGTTGCTCTATCTGGTACCAACTGGGTTGGTAGCAATGCCATTATTGTTTATCATCCCTTCTTCTTCCCCACCTCTGCTGGTGAGTAGGGTATGGGCATCAGGAAGCTTAAGGATTAGGAATAAGAGAGAGAACAAGGGAGAGACAGTAGAGATATTGCAGTCTTTCAGCATCAGATGAGTTCTTCCTGATAGCTATGTGAATGCTTCCTGCTCATGTCTTCCAGCTCCCCAACCTGTATCCTGTGTGCATGTGTGCATTTATACATGCTAAGCACACATGTGCACATTTTTCTCTTTCCAGGAGCTGCTGCAGCTTGAGGACAGGTTGGGTAATGTGACTCGGGGAGCTGTACAGAACACCATTGAGAGGTTCACCTTCCCCCACAAGTATAAGAAGGTGGGTCTGCCAGCAGGCCAGCCTGCATAGTCAAGGAATGGGGCAGGGGGGATTGTCTAATTGACTATGTCCACAGAGGGGCGCAGTCCAGAATCTAGAAACCTTTGCTCTGGTTAGATGCTCTAAAGCTGTGATAACTTCCCAGGGTCATGTTACTTTCCCGTGCCAGGTGTGGCCAAGAGGGAATATGGGAGGCCTCTCATTAGTAAAGAAGGAGAGCTGGGTATGTGTGTGTGCATGTGGACTTGCCACTGGGTATATTACATGTGTATACATTTATAGGTGTCAGGCACATAAATACTTGTCTCTAAATAAGATGGACAAAGGGAATACCTGCCAAGATTTGCCTTATAAAATAATTCACTGTCCAATCTCACATGTGAACAAATGGGAAACTAAGGCTTCCAAGCAAAGATTTTGACACCTGACTGAGCATCAGGATCACCTGGGGAGGCTTAAAAGCCACAGAATCGCAGGTTTTACCCTAAGTCTGTAGAGCTAGAATCTCCAGGGTTAAGATCTAGGAATCTAGGATAAGATTAGCTCCCAGGAACCTGAGTTTAAATTTTTTTTAATTAAAATAAAGGAAAAATTTTGGAAGCAACCAAGATGTGCTTCCATAGGTAAAAGATAGGTGAACAAACAGTGGCACATCCAGATAATCCAATATTATTCTGCAACAAAAAGAAATAAGGACTGGGTACAGTGATTCAAACCTGTACCCAGCACTCAAATCTCAGCACTTTGGAAGGGATGGAGGATCACTTCAGGTCAGGAATTCAAGACCAATGTGAGAAACATAGTGAGACCTCATCTCTACAGAAAGTTTTAAAAAGTTGCTTGGCATGGTGGTATGCACCTGTAGTCCTAGTTACTCAGGAAGCTGAGGTAAGAGAATTACTTGAGCCCAGAAGTTCAAGGTTGCAGTGAGCTATGATCGCACCACTGCACTCTAGCCTGGACAACAGAGCAAGACCCTGAATCAAAAAAAGAAAGAAGAAAATAAGCTATTGAGCCATGAATAAGTAAAAGAAGTTAGCCCAAAAAGGCTGTGTACTGTATGCTTCCAAATATATAACATTCTGGAAAAGCCTTAACTATGGAGACAATAAAAAGATTAGTGGTTGCCAGTGGAAAGGGAGGGAGGAATAAATGGGTGGAGCACAGGGGATTCTCAGGGCAGTGAAAGCATTTGGTATACACTCTAATGGTGGACACATGACATTATGCATTTTTCAAAACTGATAGAATGGTACAATACAGACAGAACCCTAATGTAAACTAATGAACCTCAGTTAATAATAGTCTATTCATACTGGTTCATTGACCATAACAAGTGTACCACACTAATGTAAGATGTTAATAATAGAAACTGTGTGTGTTGGGAGGATAGGTATATGGGAAAACACTGTACTTTTTGCTTAATTTTTTTTTTTTAAGACAGTCTTGCTCTGTCTCCCAGGCTGGAGTGCAGTGGCACAATCTTGACTCACTGCAACCTTTGCCTCCTGGGTGCAAGCAATTCTCCTGCCTCAGCCTCCAAGTAGCTGAGATTACAAGCATGTGCCACCACACCTGGCTAATTTTGGTATTTTTAGTAGAGATGAGGTTTCAACATGTTGCCCAGGCTAGTCTTGAACTCCTAACCTCAAGTGGTCCACCCACCTTGGCATCCAAAAGTGTTGGCATTACAGGTATGAGCCCTCATGCCCCACCGGTTTTTGCTTAGTTTTATGTAAAGCTAAAACTGCTCTATAAAATAATATTTATTATAAAAATAAGTAAATACTAATACATTTTAAAAACATTCATACCTCCCAGGGGAAATTAAAAGCTTGACAAATGTTAAGAACCTTACAGCAGGACTGTCCTGCTCATGGTTAAGCCAGAGACCATCTTCACTCCCTCATGAGGTCCTAGGGTGCAGTGGTCAAGAGCATTCTTAGAGTTAGAGCCAGTTTTTGACTCTCGGTTCTATTCTTTATAGCTCCGTTACTTTGGACAAGTTGCTTGGCTTTTCGGGCCCCTCCCTGTCCACCTCCCCCTTTAAAGTGTGAAATGGGAATGATCTCATTAGCAGCTACCATACGAGGTGCTTTGGGGACTCAAAGGGATGATGCACTTGAACAGCTCAGCATAGTGCCTGGTACCTAAGGAATGGTGAACTGCTGCTACCTTGTTGCTTTCCCCTAGCCCATGTGCTGGTGGTGTCAATGTCAAAGACTGTGAATCAGTGTAGGCAGCTCCTCTTGAGGCATTGGGTTTATTCATAAATGATTTCAATCACAGTTACTGAGTGCCTATTATGTATCAGACTTTGGCTGGTGTGCCAATAGAGGAAATGGCAGTATTTCAATAATTAAGGGTGTCATCTGCATGGGGAAAATAATCATCCTCTGGAGAGAGAGAGTTTTAAGCTATGGGAGAAGAACATAGAAAAAAACGAGTGGTGTATTCAAGAGTCCAGGAGCAGCACCTGTGTCCCGGACCCCGGGGGTTTACTCTTAATGAGGATGCACACCTCACCTGCTGTCACTTCAACAGTTACAAGGAAATTATGAAGAGAATCAATACTAAGAATGAAAAGGGGAAATTGACTAAATCAAGTAGATAAAGGGTTCAGGTAAAAAGGAGAATAGAAGGAATTAAGGGAATAAAAATATTATAAAAAGAACAAGAGGAATTAAAAACAAGAAATGACAAAATTAGGGCCCAAATAAAATGTGGGAAAAATACCTTAAAAATTATACACAACTGAAAAAGACAATAAAGAAGATAAGAAAACTTAAAACATTTAAATTGAGAGCATAATCATATACAATCGAAAATAGACTTTAAAATAATAATGATGTAATAATAAAAACATAGAAAATGTTGAGACAGAATAGAAACATATGCAAAGAATAAGAACTAGGAAGAGATATGAAAGCAACATATAAAATAAACATCAATAACATCAAAGTTAAAAGGGGGCTGGGCGCAGTGGCTCATGCACTTTGGGAGGCCATGGCAGGAGGATGGATTGAGCCCAGGAGTTTGAGACTAGCCTGGCCATCATAAGGAGATTCTGTCCCTACAATAAAAAGAAAAATGAGCTGGACATGGTGCTGTGCACCTGTAGCCCCCACCTCAGCCACCTTAGTCTAGGAAGTCAAGCCTGCAGAGAGCCATGATCACACCACTGCACTCCACCCTGGGCAAGAGTGTGAGGCTGTCTCAAAAACAAAAAAAAAAAAAAAAAAAGAGAGAGAGAAGATAAGGGAAAATAAATATTGCATAGATGCAGGAAAAAAGTTAAAATTAAAATAAAAGTTATATAGGTAATGAAGAGAAAACAAAAATAAGAAATAGGATAAGATTTTAAAAGGAAGAGTAGTTTAAAGAAATACAGATTAGACAGCAAAGCAAGGTAATATTAAGCTAAAATTATTAACTATTAAAGGAAAATAGTCAATAGTAATAGGAAAAATAATAGAAAGTAGGCAAGTAGGTGACTTTTACCAATACATTTTATTGGATCTCTGTTTTCTAGGAGGGCCAGCTAAATGAAGGCCACTCTTCCAGCAAACACAGCTGGACTCTCAAGCAGGCAGATCATTATGACTCTATTCATGCTCAAAAGCCATGACAATTATACGGGACTATGGATGTAATTCTGATTTTCCGGATTCTGGATAAGGGAAAACTTATTACAGAAGCCTAGCAGGGTTTGCAGTGGAGTATATAGGGCACATCGAGGCAGAGAGCAGAACAAATTGATGTTCTTGTGTGTTCCAGTGAGGTTACAGTTTTCCCCAGACTAAATCAGACTCAGGATCTCCAGAGATTTTAGGACCAGGGGCCAGAGAAGGGAGACTTGGCATCTGGGCCTTGCCCCGCGGTCATTCTCTGGGTAGTCTTCATCTTATAACTCTTTAGATTTTTCTCTTTGCAAAATGACTTTGAAACGTGCCTGTCTCTGGAGAGGGAAAGAATGGCTCATTTTCTTTTTATGGTTATTGTTAGACTATTTCATGGCACAGTGTGAAGGTGGGCTGATTTCGCTCACTGACTAGATTTCTTCTTCTGCAAACTATTTACCAAGTACTGATATGCCTTGTACTTGGCCAAGTATGGGGTGGTACTTAAAGAAGGGTAAGCCATGGGTCCGTGCCACCTGAACTTGAGACTTTACATGATGGTAAACTACATAATGATTCTACATATGGCTTCTACATAACAATAAATTGTTTTCAAATAATTAGCATAAAATTATAAACAGTACAAGGAAAGTCAACAAGTATAAACAGTGTTTTGTGATTGCTTTGTGACAGTGCCTATCTTAGATGAATTTTCTGGATAGAAAGATAACTCCAACTCCTGGGCCTGAAAGTGGAGGGAGAAACCTGAAGGCAGGAATCTGGGTTGTAAAGGGTGTTGAGGAGGAGTGGACTGTGTGAAGGGACCAGAAAAAAGGAAACTGCACAAGTCATAGCTTTGCAAAGGATCGATTCATTAGGAAGTCAATTTCTTTCCAAGCTCTGTGTCCCGAGAAAGTACCTGGAACAGCAAAAATGATTCCACTTGATCTCTTCCTACTCTCCTTGCCACAGGCTGGGAAGGAGTTCTAGGTATTACTTAAGAACTTTATGGCTGGGCGAGGTGGCTCAGCCTGTAATCCCAGCACTTTGGGAGGCCGAGGTGGGCAGATCACCTGAGGTCAGGAGTTCAAGACCAGCCTGGCCAACATGGTGAAACCCTGTCTCTACAAAATACAAAAATTAGCTGGGCATGATGTAATTCCTGTAATCCCAGTTACTTGGGAGGCCGAGATGTGAGAATCGCTTGAACTCAGGAGGTGGAAGTTGTAGTGAGCCAAGATTGCACCATTGCACTCCAGCCTGGGCATCACAGCAAGAATTCATCTAAAAAGAAAAAAAACCTTAAAAAACCTGACTCCCAGGGGAAGAGCAGGCTGTGGGTGAAAGCCAATAGCCACCAGGTGAGTTTGCCCCAGATAATGAATACTCCTCTCTCTGCTTCTCATAGCGAAGACCCCAGGATGGCAAGGGCAAGAAGGATGAGGGGGAGGAGTCAGACACAGATGAGAAATGCACAATTTGTCTGTCTATGCTTGAAGATGGAGAAGATGTGAGGTAGGAGACCGCCATTTTGATTCCCTCTCCCGTCTCTTCTAGGTATTGGTGACCAATCACTGCGCTGTATGTCTGGGAGTTGGGGCACTTGTTTGCTTGTGCACATGCGTGCTAAGTGTGCCATAATGTGCTTCATGGTTGCACTGGGAAGTTGGGGTATGAAATATTCTAGATGTGTGATGCCAGGGTATGGATGCATTGGTTGCAAAGTATAAGAGAACAGTGCGATGCTTGGTCTGAATCGGTCTAAGACGAAGTTGTGGCTTTGTTTCAGGCTGATCTGAAAGCGCTTCCTGGAGGGCGCTTCATGGCTTCCCATCTCAGCCAAAGCCTCACTCCATGGCTGGGCAGTTCCCCGGGGGTCCTCGGTGTGTGTCTCCTGGTCGGCTCAGTGTCCCTCAACTTCTGCTGGGCCCCTGACTCTCCCTCCTCTCTTCCAGACGCCTACCCTGTATGCATCTCTTTCACCAACTGTGCGTGGACCAGTGGCTCGCCATGAGCAAGAAATGCCCCATCTGCCGAGTGGACATTGAGACACAACTGGGAGCCGACAGCTGAGGGAGGAATTAGCCAGTGGACACCCCATTTCCTTCACCAGGTCCCCCCACGGCCATAGCCCTTGCAGCCAAACTTTGCCTTCTGAGCCATTTGACGTAGAGGAAAAGCCTGCAAGCACATTTTGTGGAAAGAGGAGTTGGTGGTATCGGTGTCGAGGGAGAGGAGGGAGTGGGGGAGGACCCACCTCTCCAGAATGGCGACTGTCCCCATCCACCTGGCTGAGCAGGAGAGAGGGAGCTGGCCGTGCCCAGTGCAAGGGCGGGAAGGAGGGGCCCAGGCTGCGGAGAACCCAGGTGGGATTCTGAAGGCACTAGCTGACCGACTGGCCCCTCAATCCTGTCCTCCGAAGGATTGTATATATACCTCTCGACCACGTAGGAACCATGTAGGGGTCTCTAGCTATTTCTGTGGATGGCAGCCGGAGCATGTTAGCTTAAGAAAAATGTTGTGTGTGGTGCTCTAGTCATCTTGTGGTGGACATGTCGCTATTACCGAATTTGCACCAAATATTTCTCATTGAGTTTCTTGTTTTGGTGCCTGACCGAACCAACCAACGACAGCCCCAGTCTTCCCGTCTTTATGAGAGAAAAGGAAAAAGGAATCAAAGGTGGAAGAAAAAAAGCCAAATCCTGTTTACGGTGAAAAAGGATATTGTTTTTCACCCAACTTGGGAGGCGGGAGGGGGGGTTCTCGTTTCGTTTTTGTTTTTGTTTTTTCCTTGGCTTTTGTTTTTCTCAGGTTTACAGTGCACGGAGTATGGAAGGGGGTCTGGGAGAGGGAGGGCTGGAAAAGGAGCTGATGGGGTCTTATCCCAGCCTCTGAGGGTTCAGCCGAGATGAGGAAGGTGGCAGAGCTCCAGCAGGTGAAGGGAGAGTTCTACGGGGGGCTCCCCAGACCCAGGGCTCAACTGCATGGCCCCAGCTATCCCCCAAGTTCCACACTAAACCAGGGAGGGCTTGGCCTTCAGCTACAGCTGCCCGCTGTGTTCCTGGGAGCCCAGAGGCCCATGCTCATTCCTACTCTTTCCTTTAGGCTGCCCTCTTGCCCATCACAAAGAGGCAACATAGCCACTGCCTCCCTATGCAAAACATTAACCAGATGATGCGGATAAGACAGCATAGGTGATGGCCGCTTGGTCTTGGCCACAATGCTCTCAGCCAGCACTCAGGGCTGAGGTCAATACCATGGACCTTGGAGAGGAAGCTGAGTGTCCCCCAGGATGTCTCCAGTCCTGACACAGTCCTTCAGAGATGGCCCTGGCTCTGAGGCCACCTTGGCTAGGTTTGGGAGGCTCCGAGTTTCTGGTCTCTGGCTCCTTCTCTGACTCTTCGATAACCTTGGGCAAGTCCCTTTCTTTCTCTGTGCCTCAGTTTCCTTCTCCTTTGAGTGGGGAGAGATAACAGTGCAGCCCCATTTCCTGTCCTGCTACCTCACCTAGATGTGAGGATGAATAATCTCTGTCTAGAGTGTTCTATGCGCTCTTCTGGGAACCTCTTGGGGTGTCGAGATGGAGGTGCTGGGAGACACAGACCTGGAAGTTCCATACAGTGTGTCTTTCTGCACCACCTCATAATTTCCCTGAACTCCAAAGGAAGCAGACAGATAAAAGGACAGAAGAATCAAGATGGGAAAATCCACCAAATTCCAACCCAAACCCAACTTTCTCCCTACGTGGTAAACACCAGATTAGCTGGAATTCTGCCTCCTTCCTTGGCGCTCCACCCCCCACCATTCCCCCATTTGCACTGCTCTCTAAGCCTTCCCCTCACCGCCATCCCTAACCCAGTCTCAATGCCCTCATATCAATAAGACTGGGGTAAGGGGGACAAGATACTTGTCACATATTTAAAGAAATTCCATACAGTGAAGGAAATTTGAGTCTGTATTGCTGCTACAATGGGTCAAAGTAACAGGCGGGCAGATTTTGGCTGGAGGAAGGGCTTCTAGCATGACTGGCTCCTGCGGGAATGGCTGCTCTGGCCACCTGCAGGCAGAGAGTGGGGACAGAGGCTCCAGAAGGAGGTTTCTCCCAGCGCTAAAATCCTGGTGTTCTATAAAATCTTTATTGAGTGCCTTCCGGTGCAGGCACTGGGAGAGACAATAGCTTTGAGGCGCTCACAGTCTAGCTGAGGCGATGAGACACATCCAATATTACAGAAACGGAGAATAACCTAAGATTCAAGGTTAGCAGCAATGAGCATCACAGTGTCCAACTCAGTAGCTCCAGCACATGAAAACATCTCTGCTGGAGATCCACCAGTGGGGAAAAATACATCTGAGTCAGGATGTTGGGGAAAGATAGTCACCGATAGCCACAGGAAGCTGAGAATTCTGCCCCATCCTCTCCAATGGCTGGGTGAAAACCAAGAATTCATCGAAAGATGGATTCGACCTGGAGGTAGCTAGGGTGGTCTAGGAAGGTCACTCCTCTCTTAGTCTCAGTCTTTCATTCTTTCTGCTGAGGCTGCCCTGAAAGGCTGGCAGGCGGGAGGGAGTCAGTGGGGAGGCTAGGTAGAACTAGAGCTGGTGTCCCAGGTTCCAGTCTGGGCTCTTCACTAACAAAGTGGGCAACACTAGAAACTTCCCTTCATCTCTCTGGGCCTCAGTTTCCTCAGTTACAACCTAAGGAGGTCAGATTGGATGCTTGCTAATTTCCTTCTGACACTCACACTTTGTGATACTCCCTAACATCAGCACATCTTCTTCAAGGCGGCAGAGCTGTGTGCCCACCCAGCTGATGAAAAGGACTTTCTGTGAGCACACTCTGTATCAGAGGCTGGGTGAGCACACGTGCTGAGTGAGAGAGTGGGCCCTGGTCCCCTCCCAATGCTCTGCCCCAGGCTAATATTAGGGACTGGGGAGGGGACTACCAGAAGGGAGAGGGAAGCTGCTTACTTTGGGGGTAGACCCTGAAGCCTCCCCTCCTTCCTATCTCTGAGGACCTTGTCCCCCACAGGTGGGGACGGGAGCTAATGGGCACTCAGAACCCTGCAGCTCCCACTTCCTTAGCCGGGAAGCTGTTTCGGGGAGAAGAGAGGACTGGGGTCTGTGCTTTGGCTCCCTCCAGGTCCCGGCACTGGTCAGGGAGTCTGGGAAGAGTGGAGAAGAGGCGGGGTCAGGCCTCAGCATCTCACATCCACCACCTCCAGGAGGGGAGACCACTGGTAAGTCCTCCTCCTGCTCAACTCAAGGGACTCAGACCCTTTCTTGACTGAGACGCATGAGTGCCTTCTGGGGTGAGAACAGCCCCAGGGTTTAAGTTGGGTGTCCTAGCCGCCGCCGCAGCTGTGCCACCGCGGGTCCACCGAGGATGCCAATCAATCAACCCAACGCCACAAGCCTGGCAGGGCGCAGGCAGAGGGCAAGCAGGGGCTGCCCCTCCACCTGGCCAGGACCCCCTTCGGCCCCCTGTCGCCCTTGGCCACCACCTGTGGCAGGACTGAAGCTCCTCTTCTGCAAACGTTCCCAGCCTCCGTGCAAGTATTCTTAACTCTTTTACGCCTAATGAACAAGCACAGTTTTTCAATGGTGAAGAAAAAAGCACCAGACTTTTTTTTTTTCCTAAAGAAATCCCCTAAGCCCCCCGCCTGCCAGCGGGACAAACACACCCCGTGTGGGGCTGTAGCAACGTCTGTCAGGCCCACTTGTGTTTCATCTCCTGCGCGCGTAGAGCAAATGCTAGAGCGATTTCAGCTGATAGAAAAACAAAAATGAAAAAAAAAAACACAAAAAACAAAAAACATGGCACGTTGCTAGTTTACAGGGTTTTGTGAGTTTAAATGCCTTATATTTAACAATCATAATTTATGACTAACTTGTAGATATTGTGGGTTCTTATTTAATTATTTTTATAGTTGTTTTGCATTTTTAATTATAATTTATTTATTTAGAAAGGATACTAATTTTTTTTATTACTCCTATTACCTCATTTTGGCGTTGTTTCTGGGAGTGGAATGCTTTGCATGCATTGGTACGATGACAAACAACTACGAATACAAAAAAAATTTAAATAAAATTCTGCAAACTTTATTTCGTCCAAACTATCAGGGTGTGTGATTGCAAGCTGTCCTACCGTGGTGCTGGCCTCTTTGGATACATTCCATACGAAATGCAAACCTTTGATTCTGTATGCTGTGATCTAGTGAAAAACTCCAATATAGTGACTGTATTTAGCACATATATAAATATAATTTGCACTTGTCAGCAGACTGGGGTAATCCTTTCACTTGCTATCCTTGGCATCCCCCTCCCCACAATCCCACCACTCCACCATGAACCTGCCTTTCCTCCTCCCTCGCCCCTCCCACAATCTCAGCCCACCCAGCTGCTATCCTCTGAGGAAAGTCTTAGGGCACTGGGGGTCACTATCTCCATCTGGCCTCCAACTCCAGAATTAGAGGCCTCCAGACATTACAACAGGAACATCAGAGAGCCAAAAAACCTGACTTCTTAGATAAGCCCTGGACTGGGGAGCCGGCAGGCTCAGGTTTTCAGATTTGTTATGACAGCAGTCCCAGTGACCCTGAGCAAGTCCCTTGGCCCCCTGAGTCTCAGTTTTCTGGGTGGGGTGGGTGAGGAGAACTGGGGGTTCTTTACAGTCCCTCGGATTCAGGCGGAATATGACACAGATCCTGTGCTGTGCTATCTCACTTTCTCAGGAGAGAAGAAAGAGGGAGAAAAGGCCAGGCATGGTGGCTCACGACTATAATCTCAGAACTTTGGGAGGCCAAGGTGGGCGGATCACCTGAGGTCAGGAGTTTGAAACCAGCCTGGCCAAGATGGTGAAACCCTGCCTCTACTAAAAATGCAAAAATTAGCTGGGCGTGGCGGTGTGTGCCTATAATCTCAGCTACTTGGGAGGCTAAGGCGGGAGAATGGTTTGAACCCAGGAGGCGGAGGTTGTAGTGAGCTGAGAGCTTACCACTGCACTCCAGTGTGGGTGATAAGAGCAAAACTCAGTCTAAAAAAAAAAGGGACTGCGGAGAAAGGGTAGAGGAAGGAGAAAAGGAGACAAAAGAGAGAAGAATAGAGAGAGTGAGCTGAGAATTTATCCGAGCTTGCTGAGTTGACTTCCAGGAGGGTTTTCATCCTATTATATATGGCATCCTGTGGGTGACAGGGAGGTGAGTTAGGTGGGCATGTATGGAACGTGCCCTTTCACAAGGCTTGGGCAGTCATTTGGAGAGTGAGCTGAAATCCATGTCTTGTTAGAGATAGGGATGAGGTGGGAAGATAGGAGCCCCAAACTATGGGTTTGGGATTGCACCCCCATCCTATTATCTCCCAGAGCCTTCGTTGTTGAGATGCCACCCATTGAAATTCGACTGGGATGTAGACTCTGGAATCAAGGTCTCTGCTCCCGGTATCTCCTCCATCTCCCTCTGCCTTTGCTCCCTGGGGGCTGTAGGCAGGAGGAGCTTCTATGGAGGACCGGGAGTGGGCCACCAATCCCCCTGCCCCTGGAGAAGAATAATAGGGGAGGACATGGGGAAGCTGCCACATCAAAGGCTGGCACAACTGTGAACCCAATGCCTCTGAGCCAAAAGGAGAGAGGGGTTCATGCCCCTGATAGTAGCCCCCTGAGGGGGCTGGGACTTAGCCTGTCTGCCTTCCTCCTGCCTCTTCTCCCTGCCCTCCTTCCCAGCCCATCCTCCCTCTTGCCTCTTGACATCACTGCCTTTGCCTTGTGGGGATAAGTCCCATGGGGAAGGTGCTGATGTGGAGGGAGGAAGTGGAGATCGAGATTTGCTGAACTGCCCAGCGAGGCTGTGAGCACTGGGCTCTGTGTGGTCCCTAAGCCCCAACTCTGCCCCGGCTGGGCGATGAGTGCCCCTCCCTGGGCTTCCTGCCCGGCTTCCCCTTCTGCCTCCAGCCTGGAGCCTTGCTTTCCCTGGAGACAGCCTGTGGAGTCCCCCACCACACTGGAGGGAGCATGACCACCACACTGCTGGGCCCGGCAGATGCCATGTCCTTGGCAGGGCTCCGGGACGGGCATGCCTTATGCTGCACTGCAGGGTCAGAGTGGGAAGGGGCCCTTTGCCCTGGCTGGCCTTTGCCCTCACCCTTGAGCCCTCCCCCCACTCCACCCCTGGCCTTGGATGCGGCTCTTTTCTCAGCCATGGAGCCAGCCGCACCAGCCCTCAAGGGGGTAATTTGGTTGCCCCTGGTAAGTGAAAGGATTATCCTCAGTGTTGATTGTCCTTTTTTGTAATCCTCCTGCTGTTCTGTTCTGTTGTGCTGTGCAACATTTTGCTACATAGACTATTTTATAGCAGAAAGCTAGAAGAATATTTATTATGAATATTAAAGCAATAGTGCATCAATGAAAAGGCGGAGACATTAGGAATTGTGTAAATGCTTAGATTCACTTTTGGTGGATTTTTTGTACTTTATTTATAACTAATAAAAATGAACTGCATTGCTAACTACACCTTACTTGTCCTGAGTGTTTATTTCTGTGCATAACCAGTGCGTGTCGGAGGAAGCCTCGCACAGGCCTCTGTCTTTGTCCAGGATAGGCGGCACTATCCGTTATCTGTCTAGCTCTCACCAACTTGCCTTGTCCTGTCTCCTTTTTATCTGATTTCCTTCTTGTCTCTTAACTATTTCTTTCTTGTACCTTTTTATCTCTCAAAGAATCTGTTCTATGATTGTGGACCAACCATGTAATTGACCTATTTCCTAAACTTTAGGTATAAATTGTAAAGGGAATTTTTTTCTTTTTTAAGGCAGGGTATCACTCCAGCCAGGGCTGGAGTGCAGTGGCATGATCACGGCTCACTGCAGCCTCAACCTCCCGGGCCCAAGCCATCCTTTCACCTCAGCCTTCCAAGTAACTGGGACCACAAGTGTGTGCTACCATTCCCAGCTAATTTTTAAAATTTTTTTGTAGAGACAGGGTTTTGCTGTGTTACTTAGGCTGGTCTCGAACTCCTGAGCTCAAGTGATCCTCCCAGCTCAATCCCCGCAAAGTGCTGGGATTACAGGTGTGAGCCACCATGCCTGACCGAAAGTTTCCGTTTTTGATCAATCTTCGAATGTGTGTTTGAACTGGAGGGCTACTCGGATTCTCTGTAAAAGAGAAGAAACTTGATTTTCAACGGGTGGTTGGTTTTCTATTCCCTTATAGAAGCCCACACTCTTTGCATTTTCTAGAATCTACCTTCCAAAAAGTGTGGGGTCAGTGAATGAAAAGCTGCAAACAGAACCCATATTAATGAACTTTGAAAAAAAGTAATACATATTTTTTTAGGGCAGTTTTAGGTTTACAGAAAAATAAGCATAAAATACAGAGATTTCCATCTACCCTCTCATCTCCACACCAGTTCATCCTACTACTAACATCTTGCATTGACGTGATGCATTTGTTACCATTGATGAGCCAATATTGATGCATTAAGTCAAGCCCATAGTTTACATCAGGTTCATGAATGTTTAAATTCTCAGTTTTTGTTCATGTGAGATGAGCCCAAGTCTGTAGTTTCCATCCCTTTCTCTCTATGTCTCTTTTGATCCGTGAACCAGGGCTTCTTAGTCCTGGCCCTACCCCAGCCAGTCCTGTGAATGTGGCATGACACTTCTCCTTCCTGGCTTTGCCGGTGTGGATGGTAGTGTAAGCTCCTTCCGGCTCTGCAATGCCACAAATCTCTATTTCAAGGGCCTACCTCCCTCTATTATCCGTTTGTCTGTTTAATCTGTTAACATTTACAATGGAGTTGATCCTGGGAGGAAAGGTCTGGGCTGCTTTTGGGGTGAAGGGAGAGAGACTCAAGGAGAGCAGTTCCCTTTCCTTGTATTTTGTGTCCACTCAACACATGAAAATATATTCAGGCTTCCTAGTCTCTGCCCCTGCCCCTTTCCCATTGCAGCACCCAAGAGAAAGAGGTTTTCAGAAAACAGCCAGGTATGTGCCCCATGACTTCCTGTCACCATAACAACTCTCCAGGTTAAGGAGGAGTGAAATCTGTCCTCATCTCACTCCCAGACACTCTCAGGTGTCTCCCAGCCAGGACTTTTCTCCCTACAGCTCCCGCCATCCTCCCTGCCACCTGCAACCTCACAACTGGGTCCTTGCTCCCTCTCCTTTCCTGTGCTCTCCAGGCCCTGGGAAGCCCCTCCCACTCCTGGAAAATGGGAAAGAAGATCCTTCTTTTGCAGGCTTTGTCCTGTCCCCACTCCCTTTGGCCCTCAGTTATGTGTCCTATTCAGCAGCCTTCAACCCGGCGAATAACATGTGTCTACCCACACTTACCCACAACTGAGTGGCCTGGCATCTCCACCCTGGTCCTCCAGCCAGTCAAAGCAGCTTCTCTTTGGTCTGTTTTATATATGGAGCATATTGTTTGATGAAAAGCCCACTCTTGAGCTTCCTGCGCTAGCTGCTTGCTGTGTGACTTTGGGCAAATGACTTAAACTCTCTGCGCTTTGGTTCCTTCATCTATAAAATGGGGATAATAATAGTATCTGTCTCATAGGCTTTTATAAGGATTTTATGAGCAGAATATGTGTAAACACTTAACATGTGTTTGAATAGAGTAAGCATTAGGGAAGTGTTAGCTATTATGAGGATGATGGTAATTATTTTTTAAACGTTGCTTTCTCTTTGATCCTCTTGGTCTCCTTCCTCTCCTTTTCCTAGATAGTTTCCCAGACCTTATCAATATCTACCCTTCTCCTCTGGCCACCTCCTGCCATGGTCAGCCACCAGCAGTCCCTGTCCAGCAGACAGGCTGGTGGCTGAGGCCTCAGTACCAAGACTTCTCAAATCACTGCTGGATAAAACAATTTCTTTTCTGCATTCAGTTGGAAACTCTAGAAGAAAAGGCACATTGAGGCCACTAGGCTGGAAGTACGGACCCATCTTCCCTCCAGTTTATAAGTAAGCTCCCCCATACCACCACTCAGGTGCCCCTCCCAAAACTACCCCTTCTACCTTCTAAATTTAGGACTAAAATGTTCTTACCTCCTCTCCTCCCTTTGTCCAACGCTAAGATGGCCCCATCTGTTTCTTGAAGCTCCCTTATCTTACCCTTGCTCAGGGCATTTGGAGATGTCTCTGAGTGGTTGATGCCTGGTGCCAGGCTCTGAAAAGGGGCGAGTAATGGGAGTGCCTGTTCAGGATGGACACGCCAGGGGTCCTCAGGAAGCAGGGCACCCATAGTCCTGTCTGAACTCATCCATTTATACCCCACAAATCAGTATCCAGAAAAAAATATCTCTGGACTGAGCTGAGTTTGCTTGTACCAAAATTTTGGATGAAAAGGGTTGTTTAGCCAAAGAACCAAGAAAAAAACATCAGAAGGCTTTTGTTTAACCTACTTAAAAGTGAGAGTGTTTTTTAGACTTCCGTGCAACAGTTTGTATGTAAATAGCTTGTGCTAATTGCAAATGAGTCTTATCTCTTCTTTAAAGTAGACCCTGAGGGATTTTTATTTGGAAATACTTTGTTAGCAGTTACTCCAAAGCAATATAATCACTGTTCTCTCCAAACATTCTTTAATACAGACTTGTGTCTAAATCAGGGGAGGAAAGAAGGAGCTGATATAAAACCCTGTCACTCACAAAGCCATCCCTATAAGGAAGAACTTTTGAGCCACAGGAGCCGTCAATACCCAAGGGGTTTTGGGGAGGGAATGAGCTGCCTTCGAAAGAAAGGGAGGGGCTGAGGGGGAAGGGAGCCTCCCCTTCCTTTGTTTTCTTCACCCCGAGGCCTAAGGAAGAGTTTGGCCAGAGAAGAGGTGTCACTTCAGCACAAACTGACCATCCTGGACCACAGGGCTATGTTAGCAGAAGGGGTATTGGGGTGAGATAGGTTGAGGGAGGCCCCTCCTTAGAAAAGGAGCTGTCCACTCTCACCATGATGGCTGCATTTGAGTCTCAGCCTCAGGCTTAGGACTACTGGGATACAGAGCTCGGGGGCAGCTGTAAGTAGAAGAAGAGCTTTCTGCTGGGGCAGGGACAGGAGGCGTGGGCCTTGCGCTTGCATGAACTTGAGGTTGGGTGCCTCCTCATGTTTTGCAGCCTGGGTCTTTGCTTGCCTCACCATAATCCTGGCTCTGCTTTCTGCCCTGCCATGAGTATGAAGACTTACTGAAATGCAAAACCTGTCTAGATGTAGTGTAATCTCAGCACTCATGCCTGTAACCCCCGGACTTTGGGAGGCTGAGGCTGGAGGAACACTTGAGGCTAGGAGTTTGAGACCAGCCTGGGCCACACAGTGAGAACCCTGACTCTACATAATTAAAAAAAATCAGCCAGGCATAGTGGTGTACACTCGTATTTTTAGCTGCTTGGGAGGCTGAGGTAGAAGGATGGCTTGAGCCCAGGAGTTTGAGGTTGCAGTGAGCTATGATGGTGCCACTGTATTCCAGCCTGGGTGATAGAGGAGACCTTGTCAAAAGAAAAAAAAAAGCAAAATTCAGTTCATGCTAGGATGGGGTAAGAGTCAGAGGGAGTCCACCTCCTGGAGGCTTCTCATAGGCACCCATCATTCCTTCCTCACAGTAGATAGCAGGGATGAGAGCAGCCGCCAGGCCTGGGCACAGCAATCAGGGGAGAGAATGCAACAGGAGGGCCGCCTTTCTGGACCCTTCTCCTCAGGCTCTTGTAAGAGGTTCTCCCCTCTCCTTCACCTGCAGCCTTAGCATGGCCTAGGAGACAGAGGGCTGGCTGGAATGCATCAAGCAATAGAACTTGCCCAGGGTCCCAGCATCCCCTAGGGAAAATTAGTGCCCAGCCCAAAGAAGCCATCTCATCCTATAAATGTATGGAGCTGGGACCTGACTGATGAATTTGGCAAGACTCCCAGCCCCCTCTCTCTCCCCTCTCCCCAACCACACACCTGCTCCCACTTCCTCTCCTGCTGCCCCAAGACCTGCTCTGGAGGGGTCCCATCCAGGCACCTAGGATGTAGAGGTCCCCATCAGATGGCCAGGATCAAGCCCAGCCTTGCCCTTTGTGACCCTCAGTGAGTCAGAGGCCCTCTCTTGTTCTGCGTCCTTGCTCCTATAACGCAGAAAGGCTTCACTGGCGAGGGACCTCATCCCACTCTCTTTATTCCCCACCCCCCCGTATCTCCACAAACAGCATGGCTGCCTCTGGCTTCAGGAGGTTCCCCTTGGGTGAAGTGTAGTCTCTGCTTTCTCGCTGCTGCCTGAAACTCATTACATTCTAATTCCATTGAATAAACCAGTAGCAACTGTTTGTTAAAAGTGGAAGATGTGTCAGAGGTGTGTTTTGATGTACGTTTTCTAATTTGTGGCTGTAAGGGTTTGAGTTATCTTATGACAATGCATAGTGTTCTTAGATACACATTGATAGTTATTTGTTTATCTAAAGCCAGGATGTAGGAACTAAAAGCGGAGACGGCTCCATTTAATTTCAAAGATTAAACTCATTTGTTCTGGAAGCTCGTCTTAAAGAACCACAAAA